GAATGTTTCTTCTACTCAAAGAACTTTAAGGACGAAAGGACAAGACTTTGAAGAATGGTTAGAATTAAATGAGAGCATACGCCTGTTATTGAAACAATGTATTTTATACATGCTATCAAACCCGTTCTTTTACTGCTACCACAATTTTGAATCGGCCTGAACAAAACTGAAACCCACCCACCCACCACCAACCCCACACGCACTAGGATTAAAAATGTAAAGTGAGAAGCTTTCTTTATTTTCTATACGGAGATATTTGAAACAAAACAAATCCCTCTCTTGATGTTTCATTCTGTTATATATATATATTCTTACATCTCGCACTGAAACGTCTAGTTGGAGGCTATCACCTGCTTCAGGCTAATTGGTCATCTCGTCACAACGAACGTTTCTTATTAGTAGTCAAAGCATCAAAGATCACGTGATAGGACGATGTTTACCTCTATCGAATGAAGATAAAATGACGTGTTTAACAAAGCAGAAAATATTTCCAACTTTAAACTATACCAGTGTTATATTAAGTGTCCCTCAGTGGCACAGCGGTATGTCTGCGGACTTACAACGCTAGAATCCGAGTTTCGATACCCGTGGTGGGCAGAACACAGATAGCCCATTGAGTAGCTTTGTGCTTAATTACAATCAAAGTTACATTATGCATCTCAGCTTCGATCTTCTCTATAGATTTTTGCTATTACAGACGTATTTTGATTTTTCAAAATTTTCGTAAGTTATTTGTGTGTTTAATTCAGTTCGAGGTAGATGCAATGGTAGATAGTGTGTAAGATACGACACAGTCTTAGAGTTAATAGTTTTTGTGACACCTGTTAAGTGTGGATATTGTTAACTCATTATTTAGTCCAGGCACGAATTTCCGAAGCTTTATACAGGTGCAGATGATTTTATAGCTTATGTTCTTAGCTATTTGCCCTTAGTTGTTAGAAACAAATCTATGAATCATTGTTAGAATCAGTGCTGAAGCTCTTTATATTGATAAATGTTTTAAAGCTGCTGACTACAGAAGGTTGAGTGCATTACGTTACAACAATTTTGAAGCCTCACCACGTCTTTACAGCTATTGTCGCCACGTGCGGCCATGCTATAGTTGACGACCATACATTCTGAGAAGAGCTCTGAGGCGTAGTTACATTTCTTAATGTTGTCATGTCAAAGAAACACCATTCCTCCCTATTTATTTCCATAATCCACCTGCGGGCGAGAATGATGGTTTCTCAGTACTCGATTCAACATTTCGATCTCACAGAAATCCACAGGCCATGATCTGTATGTCTTCATACCGAATAGCATGGATACCTGTGGAGGATTGGGAGCTTAAATTGGCCCGGGCAAATACTCAGATATAAAGATGATAAACATATATATATATATATATATATAGAAAGAGATTACAGTAGGTTAGTCAGTATCACTGAGACAGAAGAATCAGGTTATCACCCCACTGGCCCAGGCGTCACCGGCCCACTGGGATTTTGTCCAGTGTCCCAGCGGCCCAATCTGCCCATGATGGATATCCTTCTAATACTCCAGCTACTTGAGGTATGCAATTATTGAATGGAAGTCATGAATGAAAGTCTTATCTTGGTGGACCCATACCCTGTTGGTCCCGTTGCTAGTCGGAGATCATTCTTGTTTGTGTTAAATACCGTTTTCTGGAGCACGTGAATGGCTTTTGCCACTGACATTTTTACTTATGGATCGTCACATGTTATAAGTCGCTTAATTTTGCTTACTACAGCTAAGGTAGGACTTGTTGCAGGTCTTTTTTTTTCTTGATGATTCTGACGCTACAAGACGATATTTCTTCGTTTTCCAATGCCGTTAATTACAAGAGTTATCCTTCTTTATAAATCCCCGATCTGAACACATCTTTTTGATCTGAGTGTATGAATATTTTGCGTTGGAAAGAACTTTTTTTTTTCCCAAAAGCGATCAATTTTCGGTGGTATCACACCTCCTGCGTAACGAGGAGCAATGTCCAACTGTAATTATGATACATGCCTTTCCACTGCGACTCTATATTGGCTGGCTTTATCACATGACTTGCTGATTTGTATATTCAAAAACGTTTTAAACCAGTGGCGGCTCTTCAGAGAAGGAAAAGTAGGCCACGCTTCTTCAAACATTTTAAACAAATATTATATTTCTAATTTATTTTATATTAATACCTGCGTTTTATTTGTTTGGAGCGTAAAAGTTTTAAAAGATTCCATACTTCTATGCCATTCACCGAGTTACCATCTCACAGTGAAGAATAAAGCCTCTCGGCTCTTTCTTTATCTGCTCGGTTTCTCTAAACTTGCGACAAAAACAGCCAAGAGGAGTTGAGTTTTTTATTGGGTTTTAAATCAGTTGCACACATCAGTTGAAACAACAAAATCTCACACTCCGCACTTTGGAGTCGTGGGTGCGTTTTAAGAGTAACGATCAAATCCGATCTTACAAGAGTAGCCCAAAAGCTGGCAGTAGGGGGTGTTAATCAGCTGTTTTCCTTCTAGTCAATCACTTCAAAATTAAAGACGGCTAGCTATATTTATGCGAAGTTCAACAAAGAAACAAATAAAACATGCAAAATCCATTGAATTTCGCTAACAGTCAGCGTTCCTTTAGCTGAAACACTATTTTTGAAATCAATTATTTTACTGTTTTATTCAACGAGACAAGATTACCAAAGCATTTTACAATATTATGTCTAATAAAATCACCAGCTCATAATCGGCTGTAGCTTCACACTTGCGAGTAATCCCCTGGTAAAATGAGCCGTTGAAAATCTCCAGAAGCAGCTTATCAAAAATGTTTAGTAGTGTAAGACTAGAGGGAAGGCAGCTAGTCATCACCACCCACCGCCAACTCTTGGGCTACTCTTTTACCACCGAATAGTGGGATTGACCGTCACATTATAACGCCCTCACGGCTGAAAAGGCGAGCATGTTTGGTGTGTCGGGGATTCGAACCCGTGACCCGCAGATTGCGAGTCGAGCGCCCTAACCACCTGGCCATACCGGGCCCATATACACTTGTAAAAATTTGCTTGTTTAAAATAAGGGTGAAAAAACCTTGAAAAAGATACTGGGCTGCTTTCGGTCCAGTGTTTAACAAGCCGTACTTGGGAACTCAGGTTACACGGTTTGCATCTCGTAACCGCCAAAACAAAACAACAAATTCGTATAACTATATTTGTACACCCGATAATGTAAACTAGTTATAGAATGCTATAAGAAAGATAAAATGTGGTCAAAAACTTGAGGATAAAAGCTTTCGTCAATATTCAAATATCCCCTTTTGTCTAAAAGTTCAAGGCTAGAGATGACTAGTACTGTAGCTTTGTGCAATTCTCCGAAACATACAAACAAGTTCTTTGAACTGCATGCTAAGTTAACAATACCATGTTTTTCATATTCGCTAGTTTATGTGTATATATGTTTTAACGGCTTGGTAGAAGTAACTGGGCATATACACTTGTTTGTTTGTTATGAATTTCGCGCAAAGCTACACGAGGGCTATCTGCACTAGCCGTCCCTAAGTCTTTGTTTCAAGAGGGATAATTTATAAACAGTACTCACTGCAGTGCAATCAATCTTCGAACAATGTTTCGACATAAATCACATGTTTCGAAGTACCTCTCTTGCTTTTCAAATGCTCCTAACGTTGACACCGACAACTCCAGAATATTGATTTACTTCTGTTATTACCTACCAATTCTACAAAACAGGTTGCATGGGTTGAATAATGACAATACTTGTGTAGCAACAAGAGAAGCAAGTTTCTACTTTTCTCAGACATCGAAAATCCGAAAATACTAATGGATTTTGTTCTGTTTTTATATCAAACCTAAAAAAAAAGGATTGGAGGAGCAGGATAATTAAATAATCGCACTATAATTACATGATACGCGTGTAAGATGTAACCTAGATACTAAAAATTAATCCATTCTTCTCCTCATTAAATGGTACAATACAAATGAAAGAAGAAGGTCTCTTTAAAGTCCTCCGGTGACTCAGCGGTAAGCTCGAGGGCTTACCGTTTCAAATTCGGAGTTCGTTCTCTGGAGTGGGTACAGCGCAAACAGCTCAATGTACAGCAGTCTTGCGCAAAACAGATAAGAGAAATAATCTATTTTAGATCATTTTGACAATAAATGTTATGTTTGAACTCATGTGAAATACGTTACAATAAACAACAAGCCTTTTAAGTACGTGCTCTTACTGTTAAGCGCTTCTATTTTCAATGTTTTGTTCTAAAAATCATATATGATGAAATAACAGAATAATACCAGTTCTTAAACCTTATGTTAAGGATAAAAATTGTGATGTATTACAGATTTATTTTCCATTTATTCTTCAATCAGGAAATTACATGACAGTGCTATGTATTTCTAACTTCAAGAAATTCTGTTTTTGATAATTAACGCTAACAAAACACATTGAACACACTGCAAACTATATACTGTTTTTGATAATTAACGCTACAAAACAAATTGAACACACTGCAAACTATATACTATGTTGATAATTAACGCTACAAAACACATTGAACACACTGCAAACTATATACTGTTATTGATAATTAACGCCACAAACACATTGAACACATTGCAAACTATATATTATTTTTGATAATTAACGCTACAAAACACATGGAACACACAGCAAACTATATATTATTTTTGATAATTAACGCTACAAAACACATTGAACACACGGCAAACTATATAGTTTTCAGCTTATTTGCATCCTTTCAATTATTGTAAGTAAACAAAATGACAATGTTTTGTATTTTGTATGTGTGTATCTAGAATTCTGTTTCTATTTTTTTAAGCTTCTTGAGAATATACTCATAATTATCCACAAAAATCCTAACTTTAGAAGCTGTGTTTTCATACTAGTTATAGATAGTAGTAAAAACAAATATAAAGCTAACAAAAAAGTTAAGAATTCAGTGACTGATATAATGTTTTATTATAATGATTTAATGAATATTTTCAGGACTTCCAAACGACCTGAAACTCTACTGGCAACAATATCCTTGGATGTTTGGCGAGACAGTTTGTAAGTTGCGCGCTCTGGTGGCAGAAATGACTAGTTATGCTTCAGTGCTGACGATAGTGGCCTTCAGTACGGAACGGTATATAGCTATCTGTTACCCCTTGTTTATTCAGACAGTGTCATCGTTATCTAGGTGTATAAAAATCATTACGCTTGTGTGGATAATAGCGTGCATTAGTGCCATCCCATTTGCCATCTTTACTAAAGTGAATTATGTGGAATATCCAATAGGATCAGGAAACCTTCTCACGGAATCGGCCTTCTGTTCTCTCCCCATGGAGAATCACGATATAAGTCTACCATTACTACAATTTGCCACGTTTGCTTTTTTCTGCTTACCCATGACGTTAATTATTATCCTTTATGTCAAAATTGGTCTAACCTTACGCCATTCATCACGTGTGACTTCTGATGGCTCGACGATTAGTTCGCCATCTCTCGGAAGTAACAGACAATGTCAAGTTCGCCGATCAATCAACAAGATGCTAGGTACGTTAGAACTTTTATTATTTCATAAACTTTTATATGATCTGGACTGTTGCGACGTTTGTGTTAATTAATCTGTGACTTTGAGCAGTGACTCAAAATTTTGTTCGAAGCTTATGCTAAAACCCATTGGCTCATATTTGATATTTTGAAAATATTATAAGAGAGTAACAAAGGACAGCCTTAGAAATTTTCTATTCATTGATCGTTTCTTATATTGCTAGTTTGAGAGTCCTAAAAAAAGATCCCTAGAAAAACATACACAGAGTGAACTGTTTATAAAAACAATGCATGAACAAGCCTTCCATCTTGTTATCAAAATAATTAGTTTGTTGGTTTAAGTTTAAAATGAAAGTCTGGAAAACAAAACCGCCTGTCTTTGGAACTTTAATATAGTTGGTATTCAGAGCTAAATAAAGAGGTTCAAAATAGTAAAATGAGATTAAAACAAAGATGAAAACACTCAAGTAAATTAGTTTTATTGTTATGCCTTTCATTAACCCAAATCTGTCAAAGGAATACATTTAACAACGATGAATAGGTACATAGTAGTGGATATGTGAGCACATTGTTTTAGATAAACTGGTTTATCACGGGAGTTATTTGGTTAATTTTATCAGTGATAAACAGGTTTATAACAGGAGTTATGTGGCAGATTTGAATTGTGATAAGAATCTTTATCATGGAAACAGAGTGAGTACTTATCCACAATTATAAACAAATGTAAATGTAGTACTAAAGTAATGTGAGTGCATTTTAACAATGATAAACAAGTTTATTTACTGACATTGTTAAAACGTATTACAATGTTTTAGGTACTGATTTTAACTTGAGCAGTTTTTATTTATGGTTATAAGCTCTGTTTTGTGTGATGGTGTTTTATTAAACTATTTAATGTTATTTACCCAGACGTTTAAGCGCTTAAGACACACAACATTATAAACATAGCATATGTATTTATTTATCAAAGGTAAGATCTCGTCCTTTCGATTTTTTTCACTGATTACTAATTGCTGTGCCCATTTTATTTTCAGATATGATACATTATGCAGACTTATCCGTCACAAAAGTTATAATTATTCTGTTGTTATCCGTATTAGATATCCTCAATCTTTTGAAGCATAAAAATTGAAATTTAGCATTTCTAACTGTTAACAAATTTGTAGTTCAAAGATTAACTTTAGCCAAAACTTACTGATAACGAGATTACATCTCGATTCATTTTTCCATCACAGCAGCATTTAGCGAAAATTTTAGAAAGTTAAAGCTTGCTTCTTTCGTCATTTTTGCACATCTTAAAAAGACCCTATCTTGTACATTACTAATTGGACCTGCATTATGTTGTCCTCTGATATTCCCATCAAACTCGAGGATATTAGAAATACTACTTTTGAACATATATTGCAACCTAGCATCTGAAACCGTATAAAATAATTTTGTTTTGCCTTAGCTACAATATCGTTGACTTCTCTTTTTTCTTCATTGACTGCAACAATTAATGACGCTATTTCAAACAGGACACAAAACTATAAAAATTAAATATTCACCTTCTATACCTGGAGAAATCTTCCTATGTTTGTACTATAAAAAAATATATTTTTCACAAAGCTGGATGTTGAGTAAAGAAATTTCGAAGTTGTTATTTCATAGGTTTTCTGACGCAATTGACTTAATCAGATGTCAGCTGCCCAGCAATGAAAGTTTCCTTTTTTGTTTATATTCAGTTCCAGTTAACTGAGCAGAGCTTGGATTATCGAATGTTATCTAACTACGGCGTTGCCTTACGAAAGCTAATATTTCTTTTATTTATAATATTATAGTATTTTTCTTCTTCAGAAATTACATATTTTGGCTCTAGATTGCAAAAATAAAATGATGGCTGTTCTTTGTACTTTCTCTATCTATGTACCATATCCAAACAGGACATTGGTTACTACGATTTTCCACTGATCTCTCTCTATGTACATACCATATCCAAACAGGACGTCGGTGATCATGGTCTTCCACAGATCTCTCTCTATGTACATACCATATCCAAACAGGACGTCGGTGATCATGGTCTTCCACAGATCTCTCTCTCTATACATACCATATCCAAACAGGACGTCGGTGATCATGGTCTTCCACTGATCTCTCTCTATGTACATACCATATCCAAACAGGACGTCGGTGATCATGGTCTTCCACTGATCTCTCTCTCTATACATACCATATCCAAACAGGACGTCGGTGATCATGGTCTTCCACTGATCTCTCTCTATGTACATACCATATCCAAACAGGACGTCGGTGATCATGGTCTTCCACAGATCTCTCTCTCCCTATACATACCACATCCAAATAAGACGTCGGTGATCATGGTCTTCCACAGATCTCTCTCTATGTACATACATATCCAAACAGGATGTCGGTGATCATGGTCTTCCACAGATCTCTCTCTCTATACATACCATATCCAAACAGGACGTCGGTGATCATGGTCTTCCACTGATCTCTCTCTATGTACGTACCATATCCAAACAGGACGTCGGTGATCATGGTCTTCCACTGATCTCTCTCTATGTACGTACC